GTTCACTGTCTTTTATGGGTGCAGTTCATGGTGCCTGAAAACAATCACAACAGTAAAACCAAAGATCACTGATCACAGATCACCATAACAAATATCATAATAATTAAAAGTTTGAAATATTAGGAGAATTATCAAAATGTGACAGACAGACAGGAGATGAACACCCGAAAAAACAGTACCTATAGATTTGCTTAATGCAGGGTTGCCACACACCTTCAGTTTGAAAAAAAAAAAAAAGCAATATCTATGAAGCACAATAAAATAACATACGCCTAAACTCGTGTATTTAAGCATACCTAAACACAGAAAAAGTACAGTAAAAATGTGATTTTTAAATTATAATACAGTATTATAATCTTATGGGCCCATTGCAGTCCCTTATTGACTAAAATTCGTTATGCAGGTTATGATTGCCTACTTTTTTATTTTAAAAAACTGAGTATATATGAAAGAAGGCACCTGGTTAACATCTGCGAATATCAGTATATAACACATAGTAATAGTTATTCATAAAACATGTATTACTATATACATTTTTATGACTTACAGACATTTAATTATAAAATTCTATTACTCTTAATTTGTAGTAAATATTACTAAAGTGCTCCCATTTTACAAGAAGCAAGCCTATAGCACTAGGGCCATCCACCCTCTTGCTTTCACCAACAGAGTGACTGGAAGGCTGACTGAGGGATGCAGAGTCAGTAGATTATTGGCTTTATTCCCTAAATCAATGATTTCCAACTGTTGATCTGATGCTAACACAGGTGATTCTTACTATCTCTAGATGTATTACACGGTTCTCAAAAAAAATATATTTAGAAAGAAAACCTAAATAAATAAATGAAGTCTTCAAAGAAAAAAGAAAAGAAAAAGAAAGAAAACCAAAAACGGCTGGGATGGAGAAAAGACACAGAAGGCAGTCACAATCACAATGAGCAGTGTCCAAGCTCAGGAGCTGTGACTGTGGACAAACCACGCTACATATATATCATCAGCTACTAGCTTATTTGGTTTCATACGTCACTGACAACTAGCTTTCCTTTAGAGCACTTGGTCATAGTGCCTGATCCTTCAGAGCACTTGGTTACCTACGTACAGCAGTGAAGTACAACAGAACTCCAGCCTGCCAAAGCACTTCAGGAATTCTGCTTAAGGACTGGTGCACTATGCTGTTTAACATTTATAGGAAATCCTTCTAAAAGACTACCTTGTTACCGTGGGAGAAACCCACAATCAACCCAAGTGAAAGTTTCTTGAATGTTGAGGATCTGTCTACAGCTGGGGTCAGCAAATGTTTTCTTAAAGGCCCAGACAACAAGTATTTTAGGCTCTGCACACTGCAAGACTCCATAGGTGAAAGCAACCATAGATGATATATAAACAAGTGCATCTGCCTGTGTTACAATAAAACTTCATTTTCAAAACTAGGCTGGTAGGACAGATTTGGCCCATGAGTCCTAGACTGTCAACTTCTGGTTTAGCCTATCGTTAGATTAAAAAATACTTTTCCCCACGTTTGAAAGTCAGAAATTCTCATGAAATGTTATTCATGCAATGAGAGGGGACCTTTGACAATTATACTTTGTTAGAGAAAAAGTATATGGCCCCCCAAAACTGCATCAACTTGGGCTCTACAAATTCAGCATGTGTGATTGGATACCTAGGACTAGATTGAGGTTTACCAAGGTTTTTCTACACCATGTAGAAAAAAAGGGTTTGTTCCCTGCAATAACAGGGAACAAGAAGACTGATGTATAAATGTTCAACCAACTTAAGAAAATAAACTCACTTAAAGTACCACAGGAAATTCTATGTTTACAAAGATTATTAACAAAAAATTAACAAAAACTGAATTTTAGCTGTTTATTAATGTATATCAGATTGAATCTTTACTTCAAAATCATTTATTAGCTTTTTTTTTTTTTTTTTTGAGATGGAGTCTCGCACTGTCGCCCGGGCTGGCGCAGTCTTGGCTCATTGCAACCTCTGCCTCCTGGGTTCAAGTGATTCTCTTGCCTCAGCCTTCTGAGCAGCCGGGATTATAGGCGCCCAGCACCATGCCCAGCTAATTTTTTGTATTTTTAGTAGAGATGGGGTTTCACCATGTTGGCCAGGCTGGTCTCAAACTCCTGATCTCGTGTTGCACCTGAGTCGGTATCCCAAAGTGATGGGATTACAGGCATGAGCCACTGCGCCCAGCCCGTTTATTAACTTTAACTACTATATGAGTAACATCAACAAAACAATATTTATAAATATTTATATAATTTCTACTTTTCTGTAATTCAGACCACCTAGCTTTCAAGTCAGTAAGCTGTTACTGAAACATGAGATATTCATTTATTCATTCAATTAAAAATATTTACTGAATGCTTATTAGCAATTAGGCACCGCCTGGAAGCTGGAGATGTACAAATACAACAGAGTCCTGCCATCACAGAATTCTCAGTCTGGAAAAGAAATCTCCTCAGAAAACAATAATTAATGTTGGCAAAACAATATTACTGTCAGATTAATTTAATATGAAAATTAATTATCAAGTTTTAAGAAATGCTGTCAATAGTAGGCATTACATATCAAAATACTAATATCATTTTCATATACACCTCTTTTTCTCATTATTTGATTATATAGTTAAAAATGTGATACCATTGATTTCCAGGCATATAATAGAACAAAACAAAATGGTGTATGCTACAGTTAAGGTCAAGTTCCTAAAGATATTTAATACAAGCCTGAAGCTGCAGAACAATATATATAGCAGAACTCTATATGTTTAAAGATAGATAGACCTTTTCTGAAGGAATGTTAACAGTGGGTCTGAGGACAGGGCTGGCAGTTATCATGAGGGTGGGAACTTTTACTTGATAATTTTATTTTAAATGAAGAAGTATTACTTTTAAAATATTTTTTATTACTTTAAAACAATCTTTTTAGAGACAGGGATCTTACTATGTTGCCCAGACTAGAGTGCAGTAATCGTGCAGACACGATTACAGCCCACTGAAGCCTCGAACTCTTAGGCTCCAAGAATCTTCCCAACTCAGCTTCCCGAGTAGCTAGGACTTCAGGTACACATGACCACACCTGGCTGATTTGTTTTTTATTTTTTGGAGAGACGGGATCTTGCTATGTTGCCCAGGCTGGTCCCGAACTCGTGGCCTCAAGTGATCCCCCCCCAACTTGGCTTCCCAAAGTTCTGGGATTACAGATGTGGGGCACTGTGCCTGGCCTTAAAATACAGTTTTTTTTTTTTTTTTTTCTAGTGGTTAACATCTACAAAGACAAAAAATAAGTTCTCAGGAGGTACACAAAGAGAGAATTAGGGGGAGTTATACTTAAATTTATCTTTTTTTCACTTTGCAACCCAGGAATGTTTCTCCCTATCCTGACCTGATTCACAACAATAAACTTTTATTTTATTTTTTTTGCAGGTGGAAAAGTTGAGGGAGGAAGAACACAGAAACCCAAACAATGTGTATGAACATGTTTGTGAGAAAGAGGCAGGGATCACCACGACTCAGCAGACTCTGTGGGTGCCCTCATACCACATGCTGCAGGCAACCACAGCCAGGATCTTCCTTTTCCTTTCTCCCTCACCACTGGCACCCAGGACCACAAAATTCATTAAATAAATGTTTCTCGCTGCTTGTGAACTTGTTTTCCTTTCAGGCAACCTGATGACAGGCTAGGTTCCTAGGTTTTAACAGCCCATGATGGGAATTTTTAACTTAAGCAATTATAAAATAAAAATGTACTGACGCTAAAGACACCTTTATAAACCTGTCACTTTAATCTTTCTTCATGACTTCTTGGTTTAACTAGGTAGCTATATAGTCACATAAAATTTCACTGAAAATTTATATGCGTAGCAGTTGTTGGTCATGAAACAGCTTTTAACACTGGACTTCTCATTTATTCTCAGACTGAAAATCTAAGTGATAGCAACATTTAACAAAACCTCTTGGAAGGCTTACAGATGATTTTTGCTTTGTAAAGCATGTGCATGCTTTGTAAAGCTTTCTCATGCTTCAGTAAATCAGAAGTAATGATGGGGGTACACATTTTTTCACTTAAAACTTAATACTGGGAACAAGAGAACTAGCACGTTGCTACAGTCTCATCAACAACTCTGAAAAGGCAACAAGCCAATGCAAACAAATATGGTTTTACAAAAATACCTGATAATACTTCTAAATTAAGAGCTGACTTCAAGGGAGTGGGGAATAAGGAGAGAGTTCTTAAAGGATATAAAATTACAGCTAGATAGACATTAAATTCTAGTGTTCTGTAGAGTGCTCTATAGTTCACCACATTATTGTGTATTTTCTAATTAGCTAGAAAAGAGGTTTTTAAATGTTCCTAACACAAACATACAGTAAATATCTGAGGTGACAGATATGCTAATTACTCTGATTTGATCACTATACATTCTTTCAAAACAATACTATGTACTCCATAAAAATGTTATGTGTCATTTTTTAAAAATCTTGTTAAAAAACTGATCAAATTCATTTTAAAATACACTCTACAAGCATAGTAATTTGTGGATGCCTATTTAATGAAATATAAAGAAAAAATACTGAATATCTAACTGGTTAAAAGTCAAAAAATAATATAGATTCTACAAACTGAGACTATTTGAATAGGAGTAATTTCCAAAAGCAATCATTAGTTTACTACTTATTCCTTTGCATTCATATAGCAGATTCCTAATACTCAGGTTGAAAACACGCTTGATAAGACCTACTAATTAAAATGGTAAAACTGGAACACTGTTCAGTTTTGAATGTTAAAATTTAAAACCCTACAAACTCAAAATAAAATTACAAAAAACTAAGGCTGGGTATACATTTCTTCATTTGCCACTCTGACATTCACAATAATTAGATACAGATAGGAAATTTTTCAGTCTCCGTAGTATATACACCAAATATACATGCAACTTGTTGTTGTTCAAGTCTGAAATTCTCTTTTCAGTTAACATATTTACTGACCTCTTCTGGGACTCTCATGATTGAACAGAATGCCATTCACCGCAAAGAGATTATACGCCTCACGGAAGTTCACCACAATCCAATAGGCATAGAGTTTTGCTGCCCCTGTTGGAATAAATTTTTTAAGCAATGAAGTTTGTTATAAAAGACTGATTTTCACCCATTTTAAACAGTAACAACTTGCCAAAATAATAATTTGTAATGCATCAAAATACAAAAAAGTATCAAAAACCAAAGACAAAATAAAGGTTCTGATGCCAGTTAATCATGTTCACCAGGAAATATTTTAAGAATTTCTTACTTTTGTAATGCCCACAATGCACTATGTGACAATCTAATTGATTGAATCTTTCTTAGATCTTATTCTCTCTCATTCTCTCTCTCTCTCTAACTTTTGAGGAATTAGAATGGAAAGAAATGGGGATCTTAACATTCCAAATGCTTTGAAATTTTATCACTCAAGTCTTTCATTAATATTCTCTTTACAAATGTATTAGACATAATAGTCTTTTTTTTTTTTTTTAAGGTTTTGAGCTCAAGGAAACTTTCATGGAAAATAAACATGAAACCTTATCACTTCAGTATAATCTCAACAGTGTAGAAAAAGCATCACATTGGGTCTGATTTTCCATTTAAAGCGATCTGTATGAAAGGGTTGAATGAACATGGGTTGGTGAAGTGAGGCAGTAATTTCACCCCCAAGGTAATGGCAGCAAATACTTGTAGTTAGCAATGTATAAAGGTATGCTTCTCAACAAGTTCAGTCACTTTACCTAAATGTTAACCTCACACCCAGATGACTTCAGCCGTGAGACATGAACAGAATGAAAGAAAAAACACACACCTCCCACACCCACAGATAATGCCGCACATGCGCTCAGGTGTGCACATGCATTCTCACCATAGGGTGACCGGGGATAGAAAGGGGTGGTCTCCTTCTGGGGTATTTCCTGCACTTTCCCATAAAGTTCACTTGTTGAGGCTTGGTAGAACTTCACAGAGTTGATAAGGCCACAAGTCTTAACTGCATCTAGAAGTCGTAGAGTGCCAACTCCATCAACATCTGCAGTGTACTCAGCGAGGTCAAAGGAAATCTGGAAAAAGCAGACGGCAACAGGGCTGCATTAATAGCGTCATAGCACAAAGGTGCTGTCAGTAGCGGCAAAGACCACAATTTCACACACTGTGAAATGTTGGTGAGAAAATATTACTTTCTAACAGCACAATAAGAATGTGGATGTCATCTACATACAATATCAAAAGGCTAAAACTATCTTAATTCCTATTAATTACCTATGGTAATGTGAAGAACACTTTAACGGCCCTTCTACTACTCCGAATTCTAGGAGAGAGTCCCTAGGGCATAGTCTATTATAGGGCACACCTATTCCTCAGAATTATATGGAATGTTCCTTAAAAATTCAGTTTGAACTAATCTCTTGGGGGGTAGGGATCTAGGAAATTTACATTTTTAATGAGCCCCAATTGATTTTTATGTGCAGAGTAGTTTTGGAACATGTGCTTTAGAACACAGATGAATTTAAAAAGGGTTGTTTTATTTTCTATTTTAAAGGTAAAATAATGAATTTGTAATCTTTTACACGAATGTATAATCTTTTTTTTAGTATGAGACACAGCGCAAACAGCAAGATGCTAATGTATATATGAACTAACTTCTAAGAGAATGCTGAGGAATAATTCAATATTTTGCAGTTCTTTAGAGTACTTTTTAAAAACAAGTGTGACTGATAAGCTTTCTGAAATTGTTCTATTTACATATGATGAACAAAATAACCTAATATTAAATCCTCTAAAATAATAAGGCTCAAAATCTTTGTTACTGGTTTATTCATAGGCTAATATAGCTGCGCACAGTGCAAACAGGCTTCCCCTGCTGCCTTGTGAATCCTCACCTGGAAAAACCCCTCTGAGGGGCAAGGCCACTGGCCTTCGTTACTGCTGGGTCTTGCACGTGTGCCCTGGAGCAGAAGTTGTCCCCTGGTACATGCAAATGGTATTCAGGCCACCGCTCACCAGGGACCCTATTTAGACCACTAAACTCATGTGATTTAGGCCTGTGAGTAAAGGTCATGTGGCTGCCAGGAAATCAAAAGAAAAAAAGTATGTTTCATTCACAATCTTTCAAAAGGCAAGAAAGCAAATTTGGAAGCCTGTTATTTTTATTCTTTTCTAATAACAGTTTGTTAAGATATAATTCACACCCATAAAATTCACCCTTTTAGAAGATTGTAATTCAGTGGTTTTTAGTACATTCACAGCAGTATATGCAATCAACACCAGCTAAGCCCGGAACATTTTCATCACCCCAAAAAGAAACTCCGTACCTAGTACTCAGTACCTTAGTACCTAGTATCAGCAGCCACTCTCTGATCCCCAACTCCAGCTCTGACCCCAGCAGCCCTGTCACTATGTATTTGCCTCCTGTGGATATTTCATACAAATGGAATCATACAATAGGCAGCTTTTAGTGACCGGCTTCTTTCGCTTACCATGTTTCCATTTTGGTTGAGTATATACCTACGAATGTAGTTGCTGGGTCATACAGTAACACTATATTTAACATTTTGAAGAACTACCAGACCATTTTCCAAAATGGCTGCATCATTTCACATTCTCACCATCAATTAATAAGAGTTCCAATTTCTCCACATCTTACGTAGACTTCTTGTTGTCTTTTTTGTTATATCCATCCTAGTGGTGTGAAGTGGTATCTCAGTGTGGTTTTTCTTTTTCCTAATAAATAATGTTCAGCATCTTTTCATATGCTTATCAGCCATTTGTATCTTGTCTTTGTAGAAATGTGTATCTGAGTCCTTTAGCCATTTTTAAATTGGGTCATTGGTTGAGTTGTAAAAGTTTTTTCACATATATACACACACACACACACACACATATATTCTGAATACAAGTCCCTTATCAAATCTATGACTTGTGATCTTTATTTATTCATTTATTTTGTTGAGACGGAGTCTCGCTCTGTCGCCCAGGCTGGAGTGCAGTGGCCGGATCTCGGCTCGCCACAAGCTCCGCCTCCCGGGTTCCCGCCATTCTCCTGCCTCAGCCTCCCGAGTAGCTGGGACTACAGGCATCCGCCACCTCGCCCGGCTAATTTTTTGTGTTTTTAGTAAAGATAGGGTTTCACCGTGTTAGCCAGGATGGTCTCGATCTGCTGACCTTGTGATCCTCCTGCCTCGGTCTCCCAAAGTGCTGAGATTACGGGCCTGGGCCACCATGCCTGGCTTTGACTTGCAATCTTTCCTCCCATTATGATGGTTGTCTTTTTACTTTTTTTTTTTTAAGATGGAGTCTCGCTCTGTCACCTAGGCTGGAGTGCAATGGCGCAATCTCAGCTCACTGCAACCTCCGCCTCTGGGATTCAAGTGATTATCCTGCCTCAGCCTCCTGAGTAGCTCAGATTACAGGCGTGCACCACCATGCCTGACTAATTTTTGTATTCTTAGTAGAGACGGGGTTTCACCATGCTGGCTAGGCTGGTCTCAAACTCCTGACCTCGTGATCCACCCACCTTGGCCTCCCAAAGTTCTGGGATTACAGGCATGAGCCACCATGCCTGGCCTACTTCCTTTTTTTTTTTTTTTTTTTTTTTTTTTTTGAGATGGAGTCTCACTCTGTCACCCAGGCTGGATTGTAGTGGCACGATCTCGGCTCACTGCAAGCTCCACCTCCCGGGTTCACACCATTCTCCTGCCTCAGCCTCACAAATAGCTGAGAATTCAGGCGCCTGCCACCGTGCCTGGCTAATTTTTTGTATTTTTAATAGAGACAGGGTTTCACTGTGGTCTCGATCTCCTGACCTTGTGATCCGCCCACCTCAGCCTCCCAAAGTGCTGGGATTACAGGTGTGAGTCACCGCACCCTGTCCCCCACCCCCCCTTTTTTTTTTTTTTTTTTAAGACAGGGTCTCATTATGCTGCCCAGGCTGGAGTACAGTGGCTATTCACAGGCACAATCATAGCAAACTACAGCCTCAAACCCTGCTTAAGTGATCCTCCTACCTCAGCCTCTTGCTGAATAGCTGGGAATACAGGCACGTGGTACAGTGCTGGGCTAACGTCTTTTCACTTTCTTAGTGGAGTCTTATGAAGCACAGAAGTCCCATTTATCTACTTTTCATTTTGTTGTGTGTGCTTTCAATGCTATATCTAAGAACACTTTACTTAAACCAAGATCATGAAGATTTACTCCTAATGTTGTATTCCAAGAGTTTTACAGTTTTGTCTCATGCATTTAATTCTATGATCCATTTCGAGTTAAATTTTGTGTGTGGTTAGGGCCCAACTTCATTTTCTGCAGATGGATGTCTAGTTGTCCCAGCACCATTTGTTGAAGAGGTCGGTTTTCCCTGTCGAATGGTTTTTGCAGTGGGTCATTATGTTATCAGGAAAAGCCACGGCCTTATTTTGAGGAAACAGTGTATTAAGAAGGCCTTGGGAGAGGGGTGTCAGGGCTCTGGGACCACTGGTAGTGGCCACTGAGCAGATCACTCAACCACTTCTGCTGGCCGTAGTTTCCTCGCCACATCAGTGCCACAACTGTAATTTATATGACACTTTACAATTCAAAAGTGCTTTTGTTCGAGCTTTTTAACAATCCTAGCAGAAACAGAAACTACGTCCTGAGGTTCAGAAAGATGGAGCTGCTAAAAGCCACACTGCCTAGGAGCAGCAGAGCCAGGACTCCAAGCAAGTCCCTGGATGATGCTCACCACAAAAGCAGAATTCAGCCACCCGCTCTGTGAGGGTCTCATAAAAGCCAGAGGCTCTGAGGAGAAACACGTGCACACACAGACACACACAACTGCCTACGCTTTCCAGAGATTTGTGGATTGCAGATTAAGAAACCTTAAACTAGATCTTCCTGAATATCTTCTCTGACATCAAGTGTCTATATTCAAAATATTTTTAGGTATAAGTTCTTATCCCATGGTATTTGCACTCTTTTTCAAGGGACCAGTCAAATTTGAACAATAATGAGAATGTTATGAGTTTTTTTCTCTTTCCTTGACTAGGTTTTCATTTATGTACATGCTGCCTGAACAGCTCCAAGAAGGAATAGCTACTATTTTTTAAGTACTCAGTACCAGACACATGCATATCATCCTAGGCATTTTGCGAGTATATATTATTTAATCCTAAGAGCAGGTAAGTATTTACACTGACACAGAGAAGCTACAGCAAGTGGTGGCACCATATGTTGTATTCGTGGTGAACGTTCTATACATTGACTAGATTAGACACGGATATGTTACATTCACAGTGAACCACATGTCCTAGCATAAGCACCTTAACCGTTTGTGGTGATATTCTCTGTAAACTAGATTACACACAGGTATGTCCACATTCTGATGAACCATGTCGCATAGCACCTTAACCGTTTTGTAGTGAATGCTATACATTGACTAGATTACTGAAGTCTACTATCACAGCCACAGTGAACCACATGTCCTAGCATAACACATTCACAGTGAACCACATGTCCTAGCATAAGCACCTTAACCGTTAGAACATAGAATAAGGAAACTGTACAACCTGAAAGTTTTCACTTATGCCAGGGAATCCAATTTAGATAACTAACAGGTCATTATTCAGAGCACATACCTCATGGAAAAGAATTAAGCACCATTAGACTAAAGATAGTAAATAAGATAGGAGAGTATGGGGGGAAGGATGGTTGCATGTTTGCAGATTTTGAGTAACTCCAGAGAGAATTAAGCACATGTATTTGATGTTCAACATGCTACAGGATAAGATTAGCTGATAAAATCTAACTGATTATGAAGTGTTTTATATATAAAGTAACAAATTAAGTGGTTTCCTTAAAAAAGAAAATCTGAACAGTATGTTGTGACTGATCAACTCCTAAAGCTTACAAGTGTTGGCCAGGCACAGTGGCTCACACCTGTAGTCCAACACTTTGGGAGGCTGAGGCCAGAGGACCAGTTGAGCCCTGGAGATCAAGACCAGTCTGGGCAACACAGAAAGGTCCTGTGTCTACAAAAACAATTTAAAGTAAAAAAAATTAGCCGGCTGTGGCAGCACACACCAGTGGTCCC